CAACATAATGGTGTTGCTGAAAGAATCAATATAACCATTATGGAGAAAGTGAGGTGTAAGTTAAGAATGGCTAAGCTACCTAAGCCATTATGGGGTGAAGCTGTTCTAACGGCGTGCTACATGATCAACCGATCTCCATTTGTTCCTTTTGGGCTTTGATATCCCTGAGAGAGAATGGTCCGGACATGATGTTAATTATTCTCATCTAAAGGTGTTTGGATGCAAAGCTTTTGCTCACGTAAGCAAGGAACAAAGACGAAAACTTGATGATAGAGCCATTCCTTGTATATTTCTGGACTATGGAGATGAGGAATTTGGCTACAAGCTATGGGATCCAGAAAATCAAAAAGTTATCAGAAGCACAGATGTAGTGTTTCATGAGCAATAAACTATGTTTGATTCTGCTTCACTAGAAACTACAGAATCAAGTGGTAAGGTGGATCTTTCACCTGTCAAACCTCCTAGAGATGCCACGACAGGGAGAGAATGTGATGGAGAACTCAGGGTTGATGATGAGCTAGCAATAGAAGATGGTGACGGTGAAGGTGTCGAGCAAGAAGACCTCGAAGCTCCACCTCAGCTCAGAAGATCAAATCGAGCGATCCAACCATCTACGAGATACCCTAGTTCCTCGTACATTACCATCACTGAAGAAGGGGAGCTAGAAAGCTTTGAAAAAGTTCAGACTCATAAGAAAAATCCCAGTGGATGAAAGCTATGCAAGAATAAATGGATTCACTGGTGAAAAACGAAACTTATGAACTTGTGAAGCTTCCGGATGGCAGAAAAGCCTTGAAAAATAAATGGGTGTTCAAGCTTAAGATAGATGGTGACAGGATATTGAAGTATAAGTCTCGCTTAGTTGTCAAAGGTTTTGGACAAAAGCGAGGAATAGATTTTGATGAGATATTCTCTCCAGTTGTAAAGATTATCTTTATTCGAGTAGTACTCGGATTGGTGGCTAGCTTGGATCTGGAGCTTGAACAACTAGATGTGAAGACTGCATTTCTTCATGGAGACCTAGATGAAGAAATCTACATGGAGCAACCAAAAGGATTCGAGAAAACTGGAAAGGAGCACATGGTTTGCAGATTGAAGAAAAGCTTGTATGGACTGAAACAAGCTCCAAGACAGTGGTACAAGAAACTTGACTCATATATGGCGAGCGATGGATATACCAAGACTGATGCAGATCATTATGTGTTTGTCAAGAAATTTGCAGGTGATAAGTTCATTATCCTTTTGGTATATGTAGATGATATGTTGATAGTAGGACAAGATATGAAGCTGATTGGTAATTTGAAGAAGGAATTAGCGACGTCATTTGATATGAAGGATCTGGGCCCTGCGAAACAAATTTTGGGCATGCAGATCATGCGAGACCGAAAATCCAAGAGTTTATGGTTATCGCAAGAACGGTATGTGAATCAGATTTTGGAGAGATTCAACATGAAATCGGCTAAGCCGGTCAATACACCGTTAATCAATCACTTCAAGCTCAGCAAATGAAGTTGTCCTACGAATCAAGAAGAAAAAGAAGCTATGGCGGGTGTTCCATACTCCTCGGCAGTCAGGAGTTTGATGTATGCCATGGTTTGTATTAGACCAGATATCGCTCACGCGGTTGGAATTGTTAGCAGGTATCTTTCCAATCTTGGGAAAGATCATTGGGAAGTTGTGAAGTGGATCTCGAGGTACCTAAAAGGCAGTGCAAATAAGTCAAAGGAAACCCAATTCTTGATGGTTATACAGATGCAGATATGGCTGGTGACCTGGAAAGTAGAAAATCTACTTCAGGGTTTGTGTTTACCTTTGCAGGAGGAGCTGTATCTTGGAAATTTAAATTGAAGAAATTTGTTGCCTTGTCGACTGCTGAAACAGAGTATATTGCAATAACAAAAGCATGAAAATAAATGCTTTGGTTGAAGAGGTTCTTCAACAATTAGGAATGAAGCAGAAAAGGTACGATATCCATTGCGATAGTCAGAGCGCATTGGATTTAAATAAGAATCCGATGTACGACTCTCGCACGAAGCACATTGACGTCAGATATCATTGGCTACGTCAAGCAGTGGAAGAACAACAATTCAAGTTGGAAAAGAATCACACTGACGAAAACCCTGATGACATGATGAAGAAAGTTGTAACAGGAGGAAAGCATCAACATTGTGTCGAGATAATCATCATGACTTGCATGTGAAGATTTGCAGAATATTTCCCTTTGGCTGGAGGGAGAGAATTGTCAGAGTCCAACCAAATTAGTGGACTAACAATTATTTAATGTGCAACATTAATGTATGGCTGTTGTTGCTAGCCATATTTGACAAAATTGACCAGCCGTAATTGAAGCATTTCTTTGGCCGAAATTCATGGCTGCGGGGGGCTACATTTTTCTGACAAATGAGGAGCAATCATCCTCTATAAAATAGAGGACATCAGGCTGCACAAATGACATACCAAGCAGAAAGAAAAAGAGAGCAAAAATAAAATTTCTGGAGTGTTAATGTTTTCAGTGAGATAAAAATAGAGTGTTTGAGTAAATCCTGTGAGTATGGAAAAAATACACCGGTTGGGTATCATCTCTATTACTCCTTGTTTGTAATATTTGAATATGAATGAAGTCTCACTGGGACACTATATTTTACATTTCTAGTGTAGGGGAGTGTGAAAAGATATTGTAATTATCTTGAAAATATAGTGGAATTGTTCGGAGGTTGTCCCGTGGTTTTTTCCTCTACATTGGAGGTTTTTTCACGTTAAATCTTGGTGTCTTCTTTCTTGCATATTTTATTTATTTGGTATATTCTTAGTATGCTCTGTAGCCGCAGTTTAATCTGATCTTCCACATCAGAAAAGAATTATTCCTGTTTTATTGCAAGAGATTTCTTTTGTCATTCTTGAGTTGCTGGATTGGGATTATTCCTCACCATTTTACCGTGGTGTTTTAATTTACACCTTCCGCATTTGCGCATCTGAGGCCAACAAAGTCGAACCCTACGATTGACGATGTTTTGATTAATTTACATGGTTGATAATTTAACTATCTTTTTGTAATTGTTTGTGTTATTTTGAATAATTAACTATGATGTGTTTGATTTTATTTAGATTGATCACTAAGATAGAATTTTCATATTTATAGCTGAATTAGTCTTTCAATCCGTAATTGTTGTTCTGTTTAATTGATAAGAGGCAATCAAAAGACGGTAACTACCGGGGATAACACGACCTATTTAAGTGAACGAACGCGGTTAAGTTCAGTACTTAGTCTAGTCTATTTTTCTAATTTGTAAAGTGGCTAATTGTATTAAATGTTGAAAGCGTCTTTCTAGATTGTACAAGAAATCAGGTTTAATCGTAGTGTGTCTCGCGATTAAATTAAAATTAAGGAAATATTCGGGTAGCAGACCGTTCGTTATCTGGGGCTAATAATTTCATAAGATAGTGAGATTTAATACCTAAGTTGATTAGACAAGTCAGTCGAGGGTGTAGACGGAACTGTGAACTAGAAATTTCTCTTTATTCATTTTATTTTATTTTTATTTCGTTTCTTTATATTTTTAGAAATTTAGTTATTTTAGTTATTAAATCAATCATCCCTCTTTATCGCTTTTTATAGTTTCAATTAATACAAGAATATCACAATTTAATTCACACTCCTCATGGAATCGACCATTAATCGCCAATACTACTAGTTAGTAGAGGTCAGTTGAGGAAAAATAATAAATTATAATTTGTCACGTTGCGATGCGCGGTCAACATGTCAATCTATCGCGTATAATTTATATCTCTTTATTAATGATTATTGATTGATGCAATTTGAGAGTTATACTTTATCAATTAACATCACACAATGTTGATGACAATATTAACTCAAGAGAGTAACTAATTAATAAATTGCAAACAATCAAACAATTATTTAATTAATTGTAATACCATAATTATAATCAAATATAATATTAATGTGACTTGTATATATATCCTCAAAAATATTGTCTCTAATACACATATACCAACATGGGGCCGGGCAGAGAGAGTAGACTTTAGAGGCTTGTTCAGGAAGCGAATAATCTTCTATAAATAGGTAAAATTTGAAGAAGGTAAAGGCTAATCGCACTTTTATACACTCTAAACTTTCAATATATCTCCATGTAGCTTTTCATATCACGTTACTCACTTGATCGTTGGAGGTTTAACGCCTGAAACATCTCCCGACGTCTTTCCAGGTCTAGGGAGCAAATCGGTCGAGGGATTGTGGAGTCAATTCGAGATGCCGAAAAAAAAAAGAGCAAATTCTCTTGTGAAGCGGCTTACCTTTCATTTAACCCTTTCTTTAATGGCGCAGATGTTTCATTGTTTGTATCCAGAAAAGGGAAAGAACCAAAAAATTTGCCCTCGTCCTCTGCACACTACAATTTTATACAAAAAACCTACCAGCAACAAGTTCCGTGTTTTCTCTCCAATGACTGGAAAACTTCGTGCTCAATTGAAGTCCAGAACAGGGAGGAGGGAGACACATTATACAAGTCCATTTTCAACAAAACTTACAGACAACATTTCTTGGACTATAAGCTTTTGTTAAGATGGACTCACGATAAAACGCAGACAATTTCAATTGACACTCAAATCAACTTAAAGTAAAATCTTTTGTTTTGGAAGCATGCTAGACTTTCTCACATTACTAAAATAACTAATATACATTCTCTCAACATCTTATTACATGAGCTTTAAGATTTTTAACAACACAAAAAGAATTCCACGCATTTTTAAACATCCAGAAAACAAATTCAAAATTTATTACATGCGAAAAAGAAGTATAAGTCAAGTGGCACATTAACCATCACGACACGTCTGTATATAAACTACAGCACATGTCGACAAATTGACATCAGTTCCTTATTCCATCAAAGAAGCAAACATAAGGTTATTTGGAGTACAATATATCTTATTTTAGGGAACTATTGACAAAGACCAGGAAATGCATAAAAAACAGGGAATTAAGTTCATTCTGGTTTACCATCCTTGTCGTTTTGCTTTCTTAATCTTGACATCATATGCTCAGTTGTCTACATAAGCACAGAATAGGTAATCAAAAACACCATAATTTCACAATTAACATAACAAATGATTGTTAAAAGGTAAATACACCAAAATAACTGGCTATGCATTACTTTCAAGCCTATTCAACAATGCAATCATCTGAATTAGCAGCATTTTACTCAAAGCCAGAATTTGGACAGATGTATTCATGAGTGACTTCTTCTAGTGCAAGTTTAAAGTGAATAGTAATAATGTTCTCATGGCACCTTGAGCTACCCACGAAAAAAAAATCTTTATAAAATAAAGAAGAGATCAAGGCACACAAGTAATGTGCTACAAGGGCTCTTGATATCTTATCGATTAGTCAGTCAAATATTGTTTTCTAAAGAATATCAAATAATTATATTGATTTAACTGGGTTGAAATCAGTCACAACTCACAACTAAATGTCCATTGGCTTATTCGAATATCCTATTTTAATCCTGATTTAGATCATTTTTTTTTTCCAATATCAGGACTCGTTAGTTGTGTCAAGATCCTGTAGTAGACTAACCTGCTCAGTGTATGGCAAATACTTTCCATCAAATGTGACAACAACACGATCCTTCCCATCCACGCCTTTCACTTTATCCACTGAGCAATAGAAGTCGATTGCAGACATTCTATTTATTACCTCACCGACAGAGAAGAGCAAAACACGGTTAAATAAATCAATTTCAGTATTTTAAGTAGGAGATGGTAATCACACTTTGAATGACAACAACATACATGACCTCTCCTGAAAAGAAACATAAAAATATCCACAAACGTAAATAGAAAATAGAAATGCCCGTTTGATTTCTCCAAGGCCTTGACCATAGTCTGAGTTACTACAGACATTGAAGAGGTAATAACATCACGAATGTAATAGAAGTAAACATCCTCCACTTTAGCATTCATGTTTTAAACATTGGGAGTAACAACTTACATGCCATCGCCAAATTCTTCATTTATAATTTCTTTAATGCTCTCCCCAAAATGCATAACTGCTTCGTTCAGTCTGCAAACAAGGAAACCAGAAAGTTGGAGATTCTAAGATTGAATAAACATTCATTTCACATAGTAACTCAATTTGTCCTTTAATTTAGAAAGATTCCAGATCTTTTTCTTATGATTAGTTATTTTGATATATTTCCCAAGTGCACGAACTTTACGGAATTCCACAATCAAATTCTAAATCCATATTACATGTTTACATGTACGAAGAGGTTCTAAACTATTAGAATTATAGATTCGCGGGAAAAAGGGTGTTGTCCCATAGAGGTGAAGCACACCATAAAAAGGTGAGCGTAGGTGCCCTTTAGTGATGTTCCATCCCAAAAACTATTTCGTAATGTTAAGAGTCGCCCACTATGCATACAAGCTAGGCTTATTTACCCTGGAATCAATGTGGGACAACTCACAAGTGATATTCCATCATACACAAACATATTAAGCTTTAAACAAAATGCAATGTACACACACACACACACACACTCTTGAATTTCTCCTTTTTTTCAATCAAATAAAGTTGTTCTTTTGTTAATAGATGACCTGGTTTACTCGAATGTTTTCCTTTATAGTCCATGAAATTTATAATAAGCCTTTCAAAGAACACAATTTGAACCCTAATCTCCTAACAAAACTTAATTCAACTAAATAAAGCTCAACAAACTTGCACAAGTAGTTCTTCCCCATTTTCCTCCGATTGCTTGAGCTAACTTCCACGCATCTGTCTTGATTTTATTTTACTTTGAAAAAGAATGGCGAAATACAAAACCAATTAAACATCTCCAGGTAATAAGTTACACGAAAATAACCTGTAAACAGCGGGGTCTTGGATCAAGTTCGGGTCATACGAACGTAGTGGCGGCTGCATCATCTCGTTAATAAGCTCATCGGTCAGGGCGGGCAAGGCGGCCCGGAGCAGAGGTGCCGTTCCCAGCTTGAGCTGAGCTTGGCGCCGGAGGAGCTGAGCCACGAAAACATTGGTCAAGCCGGTCTCTTCGGCTATCTGACCATAAGTCTTGCCTGATTTTCGCTTCACGATCTGTAATTCGGCGGCGGTCCTAGCTTTCACGCTGCCGCTTGGTGCCTCCATTGCTGCTGCGCCTATAGTTCTTGCCAAATTTCATTTGCTTTTAAAGGATGACAGTGATGAATTGATGATTTTTTACCGATTAATAACTAAATAAATGGACTTTTAGAAGGAATTACTGCGAGAATGCTTGGATAGAAAAATACTAAAAATATTCAAAATATTTTTAACTCAGTCACTTGTTGAAAGTCAATTTTAACTCAATCTCACTTTCACCAATATTATTAATATAATTAAATAATATCAATCAATTACTTCTACACACCACATCAACCTTAATTCACTATTTATTCACTCACATAATTTAGTTTTTAACGAAGAATATTATATCAAATCATGAAAGACCAATCAAATTTATGTTTTCTTATCTAAGACTATCTCTCATACACCTATAATTAGGAGCTCTTTCAAAGCCAAAAATCACACATTATAAATCAAAGTCTCAAGTTCAAGAACTCTCAATAACTCACTTGAAGATATAAAGAGGTTCTTGAAGATCTAAGGTCATTAATGTTCAAGGTCAGCGTTCAATCCAGGATCAAGCTTCATAGCCTCCGAAGTACGCTCAATGGAGAAGAAGGTTGAGATGAAGAACAAAAAAAAAAGGTGTTGGTTATGTTAGTGTTATATACCGAAAGTTTGCTTTGGATGATACTACACTTTTACCTTTTATGAATGAGAATCATGTTAGATTAAAGTTCTATGTTCTGTTGTTTTGCACTTAGATAGAATAAGTCGTCATTCAGCGAACCGAATATCATTCTAGCAGTTACTTGCGAAACAAGAA